AATAAGTAAGTAAATACTTCCGAAAAGAAAATTCGTGCAATTAATGGTCAGGAAACGCTGTTAGGTGGCTTAAAGACAGGACCCTCTGACCGGAACAGGTTACACATTTCAGAGGTTCCGCCAAAAGAAGCACGATGAGGTGGCATTCCTATTATACAAAGGAACTTGATACTGTACGACGGGAGTAAACCCAAAACAGGATCGGGCAAAGTTCAACCCTGATGGCAATCGTCATGATTTCTATCTCAATTCATGACGAGACGTTTGAGGCGGTTGCTTGCTGCTCGTGTCTTGACTGCACTTTTAGCACACTTAAGAGGTACGCTAGAGGTGCGGGTTCGAGTCCCGTACGGGGCGAAAGTTTTGTTCACAACCCAGCATTCTTGTGAAACATTTCAAGGCGAACTGCGGCCAAAACCAGCAGTTTACACTCAAAAAGAAGTCCATTTTTGGGTAATTTTGGTTCCCAAAATCGCAAAGTATTTTAGCCTCGAATGTTCAAACGTTTTAAAACCAACTCATATAGCCCTTGGTTGCCTACATCTAACAACGACTCCTGCAGCATTTTGCAACTGCAATTCGCATTGATCTTACCTTTAAACAATCCTTCTTTCATCCTAATAGGACCGGCTGAGAAGATAGGATCTTCTGAGAAAGGTGAGAAAAAATGTAAAAAGAAAAACAAAAAACACCCATGTCCTACGATTTCGAGCAAACTGGTAATCATTCGTCTTAGTTAAAAAAAAACCCATCGATTTTTCACTATCAAAACTTGAATCCTTTCTTTCACAAACCCAAATCCACAACTCATATTACAAAAGAAGAGTTGCCTGCAGTTTCTTGTAATATTACAACAAAATTGTGGGACGAGGAAGCAGCTCGTTTTACCGCTTTTTCTGAGCCTTTCCCTTCAGTTGATCCTACCAGGATTCAGCACGCGCGACAGATGGCCTTGATAAGACCTTGTCTTTTTCGTGAATTTCCGAACTATTTCTTCCCTGTTGTTTTTTGATGACAGCTTGTTGTAACGCTAGAAAGCAAACTCCTCTTCACCCTCTATCCTAGGTCCTCTAGAACAAAATCAACTCCGGGAATTCTGTTCAATTTTGAGGATAATTTACCAGCTCATGCCAAACTCTCAAGTTGTGTCCCATAGTACCCACTTCCTGATTCTACATTCCGTCCGTAGTACTCACATTGACTTTCAGATTCAAGAAATATAAATACTATTTCTTTACTTTTTGTACAACCACCAGCGTTAAGTACTGTATGATTTATGAAAGAATTTGTCTGACCACGTCGATGAGAGAGAATGAAGACAGCTCGTGGCAACACCAACGGAAAGTTCTAAATGAACGCGTCCGATGCGAAGCAACCATCCCCACAAATTTTCGAGACAATTCCTGTTTTTCGCACCTTGGTCCCAGTAGAAGAATCACTACTCTGTATCATCCACAACCAACTGATGCTCTGCAAGCACTGGTTGCCGTATCGCATTCTCCAAATCCTTCTTCGATACTGAGGCAATTACAATGCAACGGCGTATCTCCAAGAAGTTATTTATAAGCAATGCACTCCGAACGCTCTGAACAGCCACGTCTTAACACATAGAATTCCATCTAACACCCTAGGGTTCAGAAATAGCGAACACCTACAGAAAACGTTGAATGGCATTCTATCTGCTCTTGTTCTGGCAAACCAAACATAAAGTAAAACATCTAAACAGACAAGAATGACAAACCTTTGCCTATTCGTCAAAACACACCACTTGCGGGTAATCTTCCCACAGTGTATTTATCCTGCAACACTTTTCTTGAACCGTTCGCTCATAAAACACGAAGAATTGGAAAATCTGCCTTAGTCTTGCCATCAGGCCTGCTCAGCCTTTAGTCTACCGTGTAAAACTTTCACACATGTGAATCTAAGCCAAGGTGACAAACGATCGCAACGCGTGCGGAATTGATCAATCGCTTGAGCTTACGAAGCTTTTTGAGGTTCCATTGCGAGAGGCTCCATTTCCTAGAATTCCCTTACCACTGGACTCCTTCTAAAGACCCAAACCTATAATCGAAGGCTGGATCAGGTGGCGATTTCGCCGTCTTGCGCACAGCTAAATGAGACACCACGCGGCTACCATTACGATTCTACGAGACAGCAAAAACTCAAACTAGCGTACGTAATGCGTAATCCGCAAGGTATTACAGTACACTTATACCTATAAGAAAGGCAGACTTGTCCGCTAAACGATCCGAGGATGTTGGAAAGGAATCTGAACCTAATTACCTAACGTTTAGTTGACTCCGAAACTGCGCCAGAAGTATGTTTTATTTTTAGAGCCATCATTCTATTCAGAGATACATGTATTCAGAGTGAGCCATGAATCGGACTTGGATTCGTGATTTGGCAGTTTTACTCCCTTCCATTTTTACAAAAGCAAACATATTAGCTGCAAACTTTTCAAAAAAAGTAAAACTTTTTCTAGCTTATATACTAATTCTTGCAATCGTAATTCCACTTGTTGCTGGGTGCTTTTTCGAGCTACCTGCTCCCCATAACAAAGGCTGAGTAAGTCGAATGAAATGGAACACCCTATCCATCGATCAGATTTCGGCGAGATAGCGTTCAAGAATCTCACACCTACCTAAACCAGTATTCCACCCAATCTCATCGATGGGCACCTTCTTGATGAACAATCTTCAAGCTTTCAACTATTCTATCCAATTGTCACAGAATTCATCAAATCTGCCCGCTAAACAAGCTCTCTTCAACTGATGCATTCGTGCTTATGATAGCCTCCGAGTGGGCTATTCATGATGATGGTCGGCCAGCCGGTTGGATGTCTAGCTAGATGGGCTCCGTCACCAATCCGGAATAGAACGACTTTTTCTGCTTCGACTTGGTAATAGAAACACGATCACCGGCGCTGTAAGAGCGCTTAGACTCCACTTTATGCGCTTAAGTGTTCGTGTCCATAACTACATCTATCGATTTTATCTATCTAGTTAAGTTTTGCAGATAAAACCGATAGCTAGGCTTTTCACTTCTCATCGCTCCATCAAAACTTTGCTTCATGCACTTTTGGTGATTGTTGATGGTCTACACTTAAAAGTACGATCGGAAACATGAATTTTGGCAACTTCTAATAATGTTTTTTAGATTCTGAACTCTACACCTTTCCTAACTTTCCATTGAATGAAGCGGCTGCGATAAATCTCGTGGGAACGAATTGGAAAGATGAATAAGAGACTGATTAGGAGACCTACTCAATGAGACGATGGGTTACGCTCCCTGGGCAATGGCGCCTTAGCAGTGGCGTGATAAAGCATCGAAGACGAAGGCGAGCACTTAAACTTCCAGAGCTCTTGCCCGCTCACCATTTCGAACGTGGGACGGATGGCAAC